ATCCATTGCTTTTCTAAAAAAATAATAGCCATGCCTTGTGAAATGAAAATCAAATAATAGGCCATCAGTTGTCCTTGAAGAGTTTCCTATTAAAAATCACAATGAAGACTGGGCCTAAAAGTCAATTCCTCCAGTTGCTTTAATTAGCTTATTTATTATCATTCTATATATGTGGTGTTTGTGCACATATGTTTGGCACATGCTACAGTGTGTGTGTGTGTGTGTGTGTGTGTGTGTGTGTGTGTGTGTGTGTGTGTGGTTTGGTGTAGGTCAGAGGATAATTTTGTGAGGTGGTTTCTCTTCTTCTATATAAAGTCAGGTAGTCAGGGTTGTACAGCAAGCACCTTTACCTACTGAGACATCTAACAAACCTCAATCATGTTGTCTAAATTTTAGAGATGGATGATGAAGCTATTTTAACTTCTATCCATGTGTTTAGAAGGGCTGTATGTGCCCTTGGATGTTGTTAAAATGTAAGTTCCATGCTTTGTTTGTCAGAGTAAGGAAAATAGACAATGGCATAGGGACCTGTGGGGAGGCAGCCCTGTCAGTGGGGTCAGCATGGTGCCGCAGGAAAGCTTGGCCATGGTCAAGGGAGTGAGGAAGAAAGATAAATCAGGGAGATGCATAGATGTGAAATCGGGGCTTATTTGCCTCTAATTACCAATAACAAGTATAGTTGACTTTCCATTTCGCTTATCCGTGTCATTTCATACTCTGGTCTCATTGCAATTCTTCCTGGTTACACAACTATCCCAAGTGTGATGGGTGCACAAAACTAAGACATAGTGCAGGCAGTGTTCCACAGAGCATTGGCAAGCCAACGTTCATGCCCAGGCGCACCTATGCCATACTTCATTACAGTTAACCCACCTCCCCCATCCTTTTGGGGATACTTCCACAGAGGCTGAACGAGGGAACCTAGAAAAACAGGAGTGCCCAGTGGTTTTGATTTTTTTCCACTTGTTTCTTAGGCAGAGGGAACTTATACATGGCATGGCACATAGAGGTCGGGGGACAGCTTGTAGGAATCAGTCCTCTCCTTCCACCATGTGGGTTCTGAGGACCACGCACAATTCTTCAGTCTTGGTGGCAAGCACTGTTACCACCTAAGTTAGCTCGCTGGCCTCAGTCAATAGTTTTAAATACAGTTAAAAACATCTGGGAAATGAGAAGACTTAGTTTCAGCTGGAGTCAAGAAAAGAAAGGCAGACTCAGAGTTCAGAGCCCCAGGGATTTTAGCACTCCGAAGGCTAACAGTGAAAATAAGAGAGTGATGACTGTGGATATAAATTGTTTTTAGTTTCACTCCTGATGAGTTTGAGTGCACAGTCACATCTAGTGGCGTGGGTCAGTGCTAAGGCTTAGTTCAGGGGGTCCTTGTTCCTAGCTCAGAGACTTCGCTACCTGCTGCAACTCTGCCCTTGGCTTAAGTGGCATTCCAAAGGGACAGAGAAGAATGGTGGAGAGGCACAGCCCTGGAATCTAACCCATCATGTAGAAGGAATGGAACGTTTAGTTATTCTCTGACTCAATAGACTCTTGTAGAACCCTCTGACTCTTGTTCTACCTTATTCGTCCTGATGTTTAGGCTGTTGTAGATTCTTATTCCCACCCCTACTTTGCTCCTAACTGGGGAAAATGACTGGGTGTAGACATTCCAAAGTGATTTCAGCATGATATTTAAATATGCTAAACCAACTCAGACTAATGGGCCCAAATCTCACCAGAAGATCTCCTCTTCCCCTTAGTATTTGTGTCTCTGCCCTGGTGATCTCTTCTGGGATGGAGGCACATCCACAGGACAGCTGGGGATTTAGTGAGAAGAAGGGGGTGTGTTTAAGTATTTGCAATTGAAAGTTGTTTTAGATTTAGGGTCTGTTGTGCATCTTTTAGCTTTTGTTGGCACTAGGCCCTCGGGGCGCCAAGCTAATTTTCTCTCTCAATCTCTTGTTAGTTTCAGGTGACAAGCTTTCAAAAGCATGGCTCTGTTAGTGTTAGGGAGCCTCAGGACTCAGTCTTGCGGCCTTCCTGTCCCCAGGTATACTGTTGCTGTGGTCACATCCCAGGCTGTCCTAAATCTCCAGTTTCTTCTCTGAGTGGCTGTCTACCATTTGTTTTATTTAGAGATAAGACCATGCTTTTGCCTCTGGGTGAACCATGGTTACCTGATCTGTGTTTGTAGGGAGGCATCTTGGATATCCCAGGTGTCCCAGATGAAGGTTAAGATCCCTGAACAGTTTCTGCCTGTTTGGAAAGTATGACATTTTCCAATTCTATACGTGACATTCAAGTTTCTTCTACTGACCTCTACAGATTCCTGTCATTGACACGTTGTGTAGCTGTGACTTGGAATTTACATGCCAACATATGGCATGGGGATCATGGATGCAGCCTGCACATCTTACCCATGCTTGTTCTGCTTATGAGTTATCACAAACTAGAGCTCCGGTGGTCAGGCAAGTGGCCTTTACCCCGGCTATTAACAAATGGGGTGAGAACAAGAACTATCTCCCCAGACCCTTAAATCAACTTCTAAAACAGGGTTTAATTTACATTTTATTCCTTTGAACATTTTCAGTTAAACAGTAACCAATAGGTGATACATAAGTTAAATAATAGTAATCATTGAAAATTAGTTCCTGAAGTAATTAATTCTTAAACAAATGCTTCTTTTTAGAACTAAGAGCCAAGACTCCTTGACCTGATTTTTTTTTTATAATCAGGACACTAAGACATAAAAGCAGTCCCCACCTGACTCCAGGTCAGTATAAACTAAAGGAAGACACTTCCTCCCTGGATTTTATGAATCATGGGCCTTGAGAGACAGACAGGACAAGTTCTGGTTGCTTCTCTTTTCTGTCATCTAGTCCTCATTGGGAGAATTTTCTTGAATATATGACTCAGCTTTTGGGACTCTGGAAAGCGTTTGGGGAAAGAGCACAGAAATGATAAATAATTTGGAAAAGAGGATCAAAAAGAAAGCATTAGGGGGAATGGAAATGTTTAGTCTAGAGAAAGAGAGAATGAGTAGAGACATACTTTCCTAACAGTCATAAACAGGACAAGAACAATTCTTTTTTAACACAGGGTTAAGGGAGCCAGAACAAATAAATACAGACAGAATAGGATTTGATTCAATATATCTAATTCCTCCTCTCCCACCTTCTCCTCCTCCCTCTCCTTCCTCCTCCTCTTCCTCCCTGTACCACTCACATCCTCCACCTCTACATCCTCCTCCACCCTCTCCTTCTCTTCCTCCACATACTCCTCACCCCTCCTCCACCATCCCCTCCTCCTCACAGTGGCCAATAGCAGAAGATGCAGATCTAGTGTGGGAATCAGATCAGCCCCAAGACCTAGGCTGATCTCAACCTTCATCAGAGAAGTTTCTTTTCCTAGTGGGCAGCTGTCAACACAGAGAAGCACAATTGGTCAACATTCTGAGACTGGGAGCTCTGTTCTAAATGGGAAATCTTTGCCAACTTCTCACCCTGTGCCAAGGCTCAGGGAACACTGGAGGAGGCAGAAAGGATGCCAGAGCTGGAGGATGAGGAGAAGGGCTGGGAAGTGCTGTCTTCCGGATGTAACATGGCTATTGCTCTTCACTCAGAAACTGGAATAACAAGATCAAACCAGTCAAAAGTTCTGTACAGACAGGGGAGATGATTTCCAGGTCCCATCTGTCACTGAGGAGCTACTGGCAATGGTGGCTTCTGGGAAAGAGAATCAATCTTCTTGGAGGGTGTTGGCCACTGGTAGGTTTCTGATACTGCAGTGGATGGTCCCACATCCAGGTACATTTGGACACTGCTAGCTGGATTAAGTGAGTTATCCAAAAAAAAGAGAAAGAGAGAGGGGGGGGGGGAAGGAACGAAGGAAGGAAGGAAGGAAGGAAGGAAGGAAGGAAGGGGAAGGAAGATGAATTTGGGAGGGGAACATATTGAGAGGAATATGGAGAAATGTGAGGTCAATCATGGTGGATATGATCATATTTTATTGTGTACATATATGAAATTCTCAAGAGTAAAATGTATTTAAAAAATAATGTAGAGCTGAGGATCTAACTCAGTGGTAGAGAACCTGTCTAGCATGCATGAGGTTCCAGGTTTAATTCCTAACACCTCAAAACCAATAATAATGCAATGTTCAGGGACTCAGACACTTGTCCTGGTACAGTCCAGGTTAATCAGCAGTGTGCATCACTGAGAATGTAGATCAGTGCTGTTTGCATGGCAGCCAGGAATAGGTTTCATTGAGAATTTAAGGGCTTCAGATTGGCAGGCAGGTATGAAACATGTGGAGGGAGAGAAAGAATGGAGGACTTGGGGACAAAATGCCTTAGATGACTGCACATGTTTGAGGAAGTCCAGGCCAGTGAATAAGGAGGCAGACAAACGAATGGAAGAAACACAAGGGCATGGAGCCTTCTAGAACACAGACCTGCAGTGAATGATAGAAAGCATCTCAAGCAGCATTTTGGGGGAACTAGCCTGTGAGGTAGCTGAATGGGACAACATAGAACCCAACATATGTATCCCCTAAACCATACGCAACCATTCTGGTTTGCTTTTCCTTGGAGCCCTGATCTTCATGGGTGTGCAGTGAGAGACACAGCTCTGTCACAATGGAAGGTCTGGGTGATGAAAGGGGATGCTTCCTGGTGCAGTTCTAGGGGACCACCTCTCACAGAGATTCCAGAAGACACAGTAAGTTCCAGTGTTAAGAACACTCCTGTATTTTACAAGCCAAACATGCTTGTCTGTGTTGCTCCAGGAGACCTTCCTCACATAAACTATCCTAAAGCTTTCTAGCTAGTATTTAAATATTTATTCAACACTCACAAATTGCAAGGTATTCTCTTAAGTACGATGGCAACCACAGGCATCTAAAAAGCCTTTACCTTTCCATTTAATGCTGCTCTATTCAGTCAGGAAAATGCCACTGATGCAGCAGGAGCAGATATGGAAAGATGGTAAAAATATGGTAATATGAGTCACACCTCATTGCTGTGGAATGTTAGACAAAAGCGGGGAGGATGGGAAAATCTACAAAGCCATGGAAACTAAATATAAAGGCAATGATACTGCATCTTCAAATGTAAGTAGGACAGGAGAAACACAGAGTTTATGGCTTCAGGAAGATGCATATGCCTGTCCAGAAGTGGGGAGCTCAACGTTAGACAACAGAATCACCAGTCTCACAACATAAGTGAAATTTCTGTGTGGGGTAACACATACCTTTAGTCCCAGCATCCAGAAGGCAGAAGCAGGTGGATCTCTGTGAGTTCCAGGCCTGCCGGAGCTACACTCTGAGGCCCTGAGGTAAGTGTATGTTATATATGTACATATCTATATATTTTTACATTCAACAAAAGCAGACTCCTTTATACCCGCTTCCAGGTCTTTCTGAAGCAATGAAAGCTCAGGTTCCAAACGCCTGTTTAAATCTTCTATAATAGCAGACCTGACTCCTCATGAGGAAAGATCCTTGGAAATATCCTAGGCAACAGCTAAACATGGCTGTTGGGTAAACCGTTCTTTGCAAATAGGATGGAGGAGGACTCTGCACCTGGGTGGACACACAGATGGCACCATCTTCCCAGTATCATGACACGACATGATGGCTTATTCCTGAGAGCAGAGAGGTTGCTGCTGTATAAATTTATCGGGGTGACTCGGCACTACATGTAGGGGCACATGGATATATGAAAATCACATCAGGAAAGCTGTACCTGAGAACTCAGTGGGCACACCAGGCTTAGAAAAAGGTAAAACTTGGACTCCACAAGGAGGTGGACACCCAGTGTTGTGATGACAACGACCTGTCATTTTACCACCCAGTGTGTGCATTGAGGGACCAGCAGGTAGAGAACTTGACCATCCCAGGGGCTCTAGTTGAGCCTAGTCCCTGCTGCTGACATATCATTCCTTTGTCCGGGTCAAGTCTTGCCCTTTTGTTTCTGCAGCTGGACTCGGGGCTCTGCAGCTCCACTCACCCCTGTAACTCAGGAGGAGCCTGAACCCCACCAAAGTCTCCAGCCTGGGTAATCCTCCTTTGTCACACCCAACAGGGACTCTATTTGCACTTTTATCAGCCTGTCCTCTCAAGTCACTTGGAAACCCCTTGCCTCTTTAAGTCTCCCGAGCCATGCTGTAACCCACGTATATGCACAGATTTAGATAGGAGGGCTTTCTGTGTGAGGTGTATCTGGGAGTTAATATTAGTAAGAAGATTGAAATCAAAGAACGTGTGATTGCTTGGCCAGGGCAGTCAGAGAAAGGGTGAGTGTCTGTCAGATTGCTGCTGCTGGAGCTGAACCCCGTGAATTTATCGTTATTCCATGGATCCTGATAGGGTAAAAAGCCACACGCAGACCTCTTCAGACATAGTGCACCACAACCCTCATCCAGATTAGACTTTAGTTAATCATTCTCTAACCCTAGAGTCATTTGATTTGAGATCAATTACGTTCAAGCATTTCCCAAGGCAGATGGAATTCTGGGACAGAGGGAATGTGCTTCTTCCTTTGAGCTGGACTGAGCTTTGAGAACTTTTGCTGGCATTGATGCTGGTCTATTTAAGAGCAGCTACAGAAAATACACAGGAGAAGCAAACGAGTGATAAAGATCCTTATGTTGCCACTATTTCACAAATTGTCCAAAACAAGTTGCAGCATTTTTATTCAAACTTACACTTTTTTCTATTACTGGATACAGAAGACTGATCTTAATCTGTCAAGCTTGAACTTTGCCTATGTTCCTGGGTCCCTGTTTTCACTTAGGGAGTATAATCAGTCTGTAACTGAGCATTGGCCCCACTTCAATAACCACATACCTTCATGCCTGGGCAGGCTGGCTGGCCTCCTGAAGGCTCCCATCTCCGGAGAGAACAAAACACACAAACAAAGCAAAACCCTCCTTGCCCTCCCCACCCAGTCTGTTCTAGCCACTGCCTCAGTTCCCCTTTCTCCTTTCTAGCACAAAGTTGTTGTGGCCTGTGTTTAGTCCCTCACCTGCCATGATAGGGCTTCCCTCCCAGGAATCCTTCTAAGACATTCCCAGCCACATCTGAGAACTTCCGTGTCTGTCACGTTCAGTTAGAGCCACGTGTCAAAGAGTCCAGCAGATTGTCTGAGAAATGTGTCATTAGAGAATGCTATGGAAAATTTTGTTGTTGAGCATGCTCCCACAACAGGTGATTGGGGTCAAATCACTTGGCATGGCCCAGAGGTGCAATCAAGGGTCACAGTGAATAGAGGTAGATGAGGCTGCCACAGCGCCGTGTAGCAGATTTTATAAGTAGAAACACCTTCTAAATACGATTAAAAACTATGGTGTAAGCCAGGCAGTAGTGGTGCACACTTTTAATCCCAGCACTCAGGAAGCAGAGGAAGGTGGATCTCCATGAGTTCAAGGCTAGCGTGGTCTACAGAGCAAGTTCTAGGACAACCAGAGCTACAACAGAGAGACCCTATCTCGGAAAACCAAAAACCAAACAAACTACAGTGCTAGGGTGATGGTTCAATGTATAAAGTGCCTACTGGGCAAGCATGAGGATCTGAGTCCCCAGAATCTGTGTAAAAGCTAGGCATGGTGGTGTGTGCATCAAACCCCAGTGCTGGGGAGGGCAGGGACAGGTGGATCCCAGGGACTGCCCAGTCTGTTAGCCCAATCCATGAGCTCCAGATTCAATGAGAGAACCTGTCTTAAAGAATAATGTAGAGGGCCATCCAGGAAAACACCTGAAGTTGACCTGTGACCTCCATGCTCATGCATGTGCATGCACACACTCAAATGAACACATACATGTACCACACGCACACACATAAAGTACACAGTAGATAAAAAATCAGCAGCATAGTCTTTTATCACCATTAAGTGCTGAGTAGCGTGTGAGTGTGTGAGCTACGCTTTTATACAATTTGCAGCTCAGTGCATTCGCTTATATCAGTGTCACCACAATCATACGGGGAGTGTTTTGTGCATGCTGCCATCACAGCTGTGATTTCACGAGATGACTGGCATTTCTCAGTCCCGTCATAATCCATGGAGCCACCTTTGTCTGTGGACTGGCTCACTGCTCAGACTGTGATCTGCACACAGCAGACGTAGCTGTGTCCTCCCAAATCCTCGTCTCAGCTCCAGCTGAGTCCCGTTCTCGAAGTCCACCACTTCCTTCACTACAGAAGAGAGGTAATTAGTACACAAGTGACCTCTCCCCCCACATTCAACCCTGACTATTTTCCTGAGCATTTGTCTTGGGTTGACAAAGGTATACTATTCTTTCAACATCTCTATTTGGCTGTCTAAACAACACATTAGATACAAATCAACTTTCTCCTTTCTGCCAATGAGTTCCTCCCCTAATCGTCCGAAATTGAGATAACAACATGGAACTCTGTTTTCTAATCTACAGTGAACCTGGCGGAGCCATCTTGAAAATATGGCTCAATTCCATCTGGCTTGCCTCATCTCCACAATGATGGTGCCCACTTCTGGAACCACCAGCATCCCTTCCTTGGATGTCAGCAATGGCCTCCACATGTCTCCCTGCTTCTGTTCACCCTTCAGACCACTCCCACACAGCAGCCATAGAGATGTACCCCAGAGGTGCAAATATGGCATACTCATGCTTATGGCCATCCGGATGTTTCCTTCCCAAAGGCGCTATGGATAAACTTTCTAGCAATTGGCCAGACACCAGTTGAGTTGGTCTTTAGGGACCCCCATCTTTCCTTGTCCCTTTTCTTCCTTCAGTCCTATACCCTGGTCTTCTGCCCCTCCAACGTGTTATGCTGTTCAGTCCCTCTGGGTCCTTACACTTCCCTTGTGCCTTTGTCTCACTGCTTCCCTTTTCATTCATAAGGTTTTAATTCTGCTACTGCCAGTCCCTTAGGGCAGGCTTTCCAGATCGCACTTCAGAGAGGCCACCCTCTCACCTCCTGTTCCCAGTTAACTCCCTCCAAGCCCCCAAGTTACAGCTGTAGGCATCTTTTACTTTTCCATTTGTGGAGATCCAGCCCCCCAGCACACATGAGCTCCAGAAGAGAAGGGACTTGCTGGCTGTCTAAACACTCTGTCATCTACCCACAACAGACTCTGCCAACTTGATGAAGAAACACTTGGTGAATGGATCAGTCACTTCTAAGGATCATACAAGTCACTAGTTTTCCTTGATTTCTGGATGCTTTACTTCTGGATGAAGTGTCTAACTATTACAGGGAGGACCGGGTTTCAGTTTTAACTTAACAATAACTCAAAAGCAGAATCTGAAAGACTAGGCAGAGGTATGGGCTCTTAATTTTTAGCTTTTAAGAATGCTGTCCCTTAATGGTGGCGAACCATCAAAGATACAGTTAAGACAGCAATCGGACTTCCCCTGACATACATCTCCACCTTTTCTGTTTTTTCTGGTTGTGAGTTTTATCTGATCCGCACTTAGAATTTAGTCATAACCACGGGTGTTACTGCTTACATGCAATTTTCAATTGCTGAAATTCTAGAAATGCTATAAAGTTAACGTCTTTTTCTATTTCAAACACATCGATTCCAAGACTATGTCATGCTAACCTTATTCTCAAGAATTACTAAGTAAAGATGTTGATATAAAGTTCACTGCTACAAAGCCCTGGAGGATGAAATTGTATTATAAAACACTGAGGCAATGCCCTGAGCTCATAATCTAATTGGATGTCAAATCATCCTGTGGCATAGTATGTGATTAAAATGGTTTTGGTATCAGTCAAAGGGAAAATAAAACAAAAGATGCAACTAGCAGGTGTGTGACTTCAAACATACCAGTCAGAAGTCAGAAAGTCTAACTTGAGATCATGTCTACAGAGGCTGGCAAGGATACACAACACAGTTACTGTCTATAAAAAGGAAAATAACTACTCCTAAATATCTTAGGAAACAATAAGCGAATGCTGGGTACTGGTGATTCGTGTGGATAGTCCCAGCACTGAGGAAGCTGAGGCAGGAGGATAGCCATAAATTCAAAATAGCCTAGTCTATACATTGGGTTCCAGCCTAGCCTGGCTTATAAAGTAAGACCCCCCCCCACACACATACATCCACACCTGAGTGTAGACACACATGCACAAAAAAACACACAAAGCTAAATGCAAACATTGCCAATCAAAATAAATAATTCAATGTAAACATTGTTTTATTGGAGAAAAGAAGTAAAGGAGAAAAGGACAAGAGAAAGACAACTCGCTCATGTGCCTTGTCTATGTCTGGTGCACCAGTTTGATGAGCAGCATAATCAAGAAAACAATAGTATCAATGAATCGTTTATCTGAATTTTCATTCTTTGGACATGCTCGGCCACAAACAGCATGAGAGTATTGTAAGAGCAAGCCTAGTTCCGTGAGAGGCTCCAGGACCAGCAGGGAGGAGCAGAGGCAGCCAGCGGAGGGCCTGGAAGGACATTCTGCTGCAGAAGGGAGCTGGAGGAGGAAACTACCTGGGCCATTTGGAAGCCTGTGTCGCACTGGGGTTAGATAGCAAAGGTGCACCCGGGCTGGAAAGTCCAGATCCAGTGCTAGACTCGGGTGTAGAAACTGTGAAACCGTTTCTAAAGGAAAACAGAAGCCTGCAGTCCTGTCTCATTACCCACCAAGGCCTCAGAGCCACGACCTTTCCCCCAGTTCCGAAACCTCTCTGGAAAATTCATTTCATGCCTGTCTCCTGTAGTAAAAGCCTTGACTGAGCTGTTACAAAACAGGAGACTTGGCTCAGGGAATGGGAGACATCACTTGATACCCCAGTTCCAGCTGGCGTTCTCGGGATAGTGCCTCTGACCCCCGTCTTACCTGAAATCTTGGACCGTGGCCTTTCCCCAGCAGAGGGGACTTTTGATTGTTCCTGTGCCAGGTGACTGGGAAGCAGACACAGCACATGCGTCACTTTCTTTGACACTAAAAAAAATGTCTCTTAGGCTGAGGTGGGGCTGACGGTACCCTGACTCTGAGACTCTTCAGTCACCAGCTTCTGGATGTAGGGCATCTTGGGAGGATTGATTGATGTCTACCAAATCTCTCTGGAAACCTCCATTTGACTTCCTTCCTTTATAGGGCCAGACCTCTGTCAGTTACCAGGCCGCAGCTAACACTCATCGACTGAGGTGATAAAACGCCCCTGTCTCCTGGATGGTCGCTTTCCCTCTAAGGGCTGTGTTTACAGTTCTGAGTCAGCCCTTGTCCCTTTCATCACTTTCAAAACTTCCCCCTCTTGTTCTCAGAAAAGAATCCAGTTTCTTCCTCCAACAAGACGTTCTCATTTTCCTTAAGAGTTTATTGGGTAAGAACGGTGCTAAATCGACAAAATAGGCATCTTCTGGATGCACATAAAGAGGGTGGAGGCCAGTCCTCATTGTCAGCTTGACTGGGTTCAGATCACTAGGGCATTTCTGTCAGGACACTGCCAGAGAGACTTAAACTTCAGGAGAAGAGCCAGTGTGAACACGTGGGGCTCTGTCCCATAGGCTGGGGCCCTAACTGATTACAAAGGAGAAAGGGAGCTGTGTACTTGCTTTCCTCTCTCTCTGTTTCCAGAATGTGGGTACACTGTGACCAGCTACCTCACAGGTGTCCTGTCAGGCCTCCCCACACTGTGACCAGCTACCTCACAGGTGTCCTGTCAGGTCACCTCACACTGTGACCAGCTACCTCACAGGTGTTCTGTCAGGCCTCCCCACACTGTGACCAGCTACCTCATAGGTGTTCTGTCAGGTCACTCCACACTCTGACCAGCTACCTCACAGGTGTCTTGTCAGGTCACCCCACACTGTGACCAGCTACCTCACAGGTGTCCTGTCAGGCCTCCCCACACTGTGACCAGCTACCTCACAGGTGTCTTGTCAGGTCACCCCACACTGTGACCAGCTACCTCACAGGTGTCCTGTCAGGTCACTCCACACTGTGACCAGCTACCTCACAGGTGTCCTGTCAGGTCACTCCACACTGTGACCAGCTACCTCACAGGTGTCCTGTCAGGCCTCCCACACTGTGACCAGCTACCTCACAGGTGTCCTGTCAGGTCACCCCACACTGTGACCAGCTACCTCACAGGTGTCCTGTCAGGTCACTCCACACTGTGACCAGCTACCTCACAGGTGTCCTGTCAGGTCACTCCACACTGTGACCAGCTACCTCACAGGTGTCCTGTCAGGTCACTCCACACTGTGACCAGCTACCTCACAGGTGTTCTGTCAGGCCTCCCCACACTGTGACCAGCTACCTCACAGGTGTCCTGTCAGGTCACCCCACACTGTGACCAGCTACCTCACAGGTGTCCTGTCAGGTCACCCCACACTGTGACCAGCTACCTCACAGGTGTTCTGTCAGGCCTCCCCACACTGTGACCAGCTACCTCACAGGTGTCCTGTCAGGTCACCCCACACTGTGACCAGCTACCTCACAGGTGTCCTGTCAGGTCACCCCACACTGTGACCAGCTACCTCACAGGTGTCCTGTCAGGTCACCCCACACTCTGACCAGCTACCTCACAGGTGTTCTGTCAGGTCACCCCACACTGTGACCAGCTACCTCACAGGTGTCCTGTCAGGTCACCCCACACTGTGACCAGCTACCTCACAGGTGTCCTGTCAGGTCACCCCACACTGTGACCAGCTACCTCACAGGTGTTCTGTCAGGCCTCCCCACACTGTGACCAGCTACCTCATAGGTGTTCTGTCAGGTCACTCCACACTCTGACCAGCTACCTCACAGGCCTGCTGTCAGGCCTCCCCTACCATGGCTGGCTGTATCTTCAAACTGGGAAACCCTTTCTGCCCCAAATTGCTCTCATTAGGTATTTTGTGTCTTGGGGGGAATATAAGGAACCAGATACAGGGTCAAGGTGAAGCAAGCTTTACACGCAAATTCAGTGGCGATATGGACAGGGCAAAGTCGAGAGGAAGCATCGATTCCACTTAGGAAGCCTGAACCACGAAGAATATTCAAACATCTTGCTTTACAGGTGATAGGTAAGCAAGGTGATCCATATGGTTAGCTTCATTTAACCTTAGCCCCACCATGACATATGCAGACTTGAAAATGTTAAATTTTACTCATAGGTGGTATAACTATGATTTGTCAAGTAATATTAATGAATTTTTAAAGAGATCACTAGGGAGGAGCCTCCTAAATTATCTCCCGGGGACTCTGGAAATCATCTACATCTATGAATAGTGGTTTTGTTTTGTTTTTACCAGCTCTTGCTAAGTAGCCCCGGGTGGTTGGAACATGTGATCCTCCTGCTTGAGCACCTCATCTGGTCCTCTGGGACACATCCAACTGTGTCCGTAAATGTTCATAACACCTTTCATCCTGTCTCAGAAGAGAACCCTACCTTATTCTTGAGGAGTACACTTCATATGCCTTCTAAAAGTAAAACTTCCTCTTCCAAGGTTGAAAGTGAGGTGAAATAAAAAAAAAAGTGAAAAGTTTGAGAGAGATGGAAAAAATCTAGTCAGCTTCTTAACAGTCCCAAAACTTCATTCACTTTTGTGTACCTCAGTTTCTTTTCTTTTCTTAGTTTTTAAAATAGATGCCCCTTGATCACTGTGCTCTGTACCCTTCATACTTTGCCTTCTTTTGGGAACCAACTCCTTCCGGTTCTGCCTTGACTGTCCTTCCCATCCCCACAGCTGCTCTTTCATATCCCCTGCATCTAGAAGAAGAAGAAGAAGGAGGAGGAGGAGGAGGAGGAAGAGGAGGAGGAGGAGGAGGAGGAGGAAGAGGAAGAGTCTGTACCCCAGGCTCATCTATGCCCCGTGCTCCTTCAACTCAACGTCTACAAACTGGATGCTTCACCTCAGCCTTAGCTTAGATTACACAGGAAAAAATGGATATGGTCTTTATTTCCTCCCTCTTTAGCGTGCATCTTCTTCTGCAAAATTAACTCCAAACTCTCCACTCACCTTCACTTCTGCTTTACACAGTCAGACCCCTCCCTCCCTCCCCCTCTTTCCCTCCCTCCCTCCCCCTCCTTCCCGCCCTCCCTCCCTCTCTCCTGCTCTTGCTTTCTCCCTTTCTTCTCTTCATTTTCTTTCTTTCTTTCTTTTTTTTTCTTTGAGATAGGGTCTTCCTGCCCTCCACCACACAATCCTGCCTCAGCCTCCCGGTGCTGAGATTACAGGTATGAGCTGCCACAGCCGCCTCATTTGTCTGGCCCCTTAGACAACTTGCTGATGAGAGTTTTGTTTTCCATTTCTTATGATACCCCCTATGTCCGTCCATAAACTCTATTGTTTAGAACATCACTTCCTTGTTTAGAAATTGTTCATGGTTTTCCACTGACCCCACCGAAGCCCTCATTTCTTACATACCATGTGGCAGCTTGTAATTGCCCCCCAGTCTATGTTTCCCACCTCATTATCCCCGCACACCCACAGAGGTGACCACACACAATTCCTGAGCATGCTGGGAATGCTTACACTCCCAGGACCCTGTGCTTTTCATTCCAAGCACATTTCTTGAAATCCTGTCCATGCTCCAGGCCCATCTTAAAGGCCACCACCTCTGCAAAGGTCCCCAGACCTCACTGTGCCCCCCCTTAAGAAGTCAATCACTCTACTCTGTATTCTCAGACTGGAACCGATATCCTAAACCTGGTTGGATGGGCCAGGAAGTTCTGAGAAGACACTGATGCCCAGGCTGTCCCTCACACCCCTTATATCAGGACATTTGAAAATACTTTCTAAGTGCTGTGGTAAAGTGAAAACAGCCTAGCATTTCCTGTCTAAACCATTTTAAGTGCATGGTGCAGCAGCTTGAATGCACACATAACTAGGCATCCATGTCTAGAATTCTCTATCGTGTGAAACTAGACTGTACTCATGCATACCATCCCTCCCTCCTCAGCCCTGTCAGCTGGGGCTCTGCTTGTTTCCTCCCAGTCACCCTGCTGCTCCTCACAAGGTGGAATCATGCAGCCCTTGTCTTTTGGAGACTGGTCTATTTCATGCAGTGCAATGTCCTCAGGAGTCAGGAACGCTGAAACGCGTACTCCAAATTCCTTCCTTTACATGGCCGAATCATATCCCACTGTGTTTATATGCCACCATTTGTTTGTTCATCCATGTATGAACACGCACACACATTGCTTCTCCATGTTAGTTCTTATGAATACTGCGGCTGTGACTATGAATGAACAGATATCTCAACAGCTTGCTTCTTAGGGATATAAGCTGTACAACTTTCAGTGGTACGTGTAAATATGATCATGATTCATGGTAATCAAAACAGGGAAGGGTTTGTTTTTAATTCTTCTAGGCGTAGTAGATCCACAAGTGATTCCTGGATTACATGGTCATTCTGTGTTTAATTCTTTTTGAGGACCTGCCATAACATTTTCTACCATGAATGCACCACGTTAGAGTCCCAAACAGGAATTCTAGTTACTTTGTTTCTCCATTAACACTTCTTATTGATGTTTCTTTTTTAATAGTAATAGTTCCAGTGGGTACAAGAAGTTAGTAATTTTAAAATTCAGATCTGAGTCACAATATATTAAACAAACATATGAAGTATACAAGAATATCATTTACACAATTAATATTAACTAACAGAAATTGGTTTTGTTGTACTTAGAATTTGATAAGCTTAAATCATGATTCATCTTAATGTTTAACTTCATAGTGCTCCTTCTAATCAAATATTACAACTTGAAAATGTTTCATTTGTGTGTCTGTGTATACGTACACACACATGTGTGTGAGGATTCCCACAGAGGTCAACAGAGGGTATCAAACCCTCTAGAGCTGCAACTCCAGTTAGTTGTGAGCTGCTCACTCTGGTCCTCTGGGGAAGCAGCAGGCATTCTGACCACTGAGAAAGCTTTCTTGCCTTTTAACTGAATTTTAATGATCAAACAAGCATCCTGGATCTTGCCACCCATTTAAAATTCAGAATATTGTTGGTTAATATTGCACCTATTATTTATACTGGAGATAACTACATTTTAAATGTTTTTTGTTTATGGGTGGTTTTGGTCTTTTGTTTTTATTGTAAGCCAAGGAGGGTGACAGGTGCCTATTGTGTTTGTTATTTTTCTGTTGCCTTGGTAAAATAGCCAAATGAAAAGCAATGGGAGAAGAAATAACTTGCTTATTTTGGCTTAGAGTTCCAGGGGACAGAGTCTATCATGGTGGGGAAGGCATGGCATGATGGCAGGAGCAGGAAGCTGGTTGAGCACGCTTCATCCACATCTGGAAGCAGAGGAAGCAGGAAGAAGGGTGACACTATCAAACCTCAAAGCCTACCTTCAGTGACAAGCTTAACCCAGCAAGGCAGTACCTTCTCAAAGTTCCATAGCCTCCCGGAACAGTGCCATCAGCTGAGGACAAAGTGTCCAAAGATACAAGCCTATGGAGGACAATGAGGCTGAGGAAGAAGGATCAGAAGTGTGAGGCCACCCTGGCTAGTGAGTCCCTGTCTCAGAGGTACAGTTTTGATTTCATCTATCTACACATATGTAAATGTATGTAAATATAAACTTACCACAGACACCCTGGTGTCTTTCCAAAACTCCAAAAGCGATTCTCGTGGACACGCAGGAACAACCATCACAGAGACACTTTGTACTCAGCCTCTCTGGATGTGCTCTGTGGCCCTGACTGACTTCCTGTAGCATCCTGTCCCTCTGAGCTTCCTGTGCTGTGGGTGGCTCTCCAGTCTCTCATGCTCCTTTACCTCCATCTGTCCTCATCTTCCTCTGGGTTGTCACCCCTTCTCCTCAGCTCTTTACCCGAGCCTGAATTTTGGGTCTTTCATCTTCTGGCCTATCTCTTACACTTTGCCAGAGCATTTATTCCATAGTAAGAGTGAATGAATGGAGTTACAAAGCCTGGTTCATCAGTTATATAGGAAGAGGAACAAAACAAAATGAAAATATTTACTGCTGACATTTGGTATGTTGACTGGGAGGGCAGGGCTTGACTTGAGTGAAATTACATGGCAGTTTCTGTGTGTGTGAATATGTGTGTGAGTGCATCCATATAAATGTGTGTGTGTATGTATGTATGTATGTATGTATGTATGTATGTAGTGAGTGTTTTGAGTAACTCTGTATGTGTGTGTGTGTGTGTGTGTGTGTGTGTTCATGGTTGTGAGGATTTATTAGGCTGACTTACATGATCAGAGCTGAGGATTTCTATAATTCTGTTCTACAAGTTGAAGAGACAGGGAATAGGTAGCTACTGGGTCCAAGAAGCTAGAAGCCCAAGCAAGAGGGAGCAAAGATGTAAGCCCAGCTCAAAACAAACCTAAAATCCCAGAAGCCCTGGAGAGCTGCTGGGGTGAGGCCTCATCGCAAATCTGGAGCCCAAAATAGGGATGAAGGCAGGGACATGAGGAAGCTGAGATGATTTAACCCAAATGAGTATATTAATTAAAAAAAAAAACAAACCTAACCTTGTGTCTGCTGTCAACAGGCAACGGTAACAATGAAAATGCGCTCATCGAAGAGTCGATTCTGTGCATGCAAGTTCCCTCTCCCTCTTTTGTTCTACACAGCCTCTCGCTTATCACATGGTGCCCACATTTGAGGCAGGATTTCGCCTTCAGCTCACTGACCCACGTGCCAATCTTCTCTGGAAACAACCTTACAGATACACTCAGAATTGAACTTGACTAACTTTGTAGGCATCTCTCAACCCAGCTAGACTGACAACCAAGATCTGTCATCACACACAGTCACAGAAAGGCAGACTCAGTTCCTTTAACACGTAGACCATCAGGACGCATCATGCTGGGCGATGCTGGCTTTATCTTGAGTAAGCATCATCTGTTCCCCTCTGTTAGTTACATCAATGGTCACTAACTTTGCTGCAGTATGGATTAAATCTCACTGGTTTCAATGGGCTGAAGATAACCTGCGTGTGGCTATGAAGTGCTTTGTTGGGGTTAGCTCAGTTCTAGAACAAGGAATTGCCTTCTGGATCCACTCTGCTTACTCTGAGGTCTCTCCGTTCATGTCCCAGAAAAGCTGAGGGTCTTTGGAAGACCAAAGAAGATGATGGGAAAGGTGACCTGCTCCACCCCCACTTTGGTGGAACCACACAGGTACAGGAGACCCAAGCTGGAAATCCTGCCCAACTGTTGAGCTGTGACATTCAAATTTTCACTCTTTTGAGTCTGGTGAGGGACTGCCCATTTCTCCCAAATCCAAATGCCAATCTATAACCAACACTCAATGAAGGCTTGAGCTGAGATGAAATGCTTTTCAGGCCGCTGCCCTAGAATCCCAAGGCCAAGTTGGCTGAATAAACAAGGGTAGCCTGGTATTCAAAACTACAGAACTCCCTGAACTGTAATGAGTGGCTTTTGGAGGTTCAAATGGAAAATGCCATGACGGTTCGTTTTGTCTCGGGAAATCAAAGTGCCCCTTGTTTGAGAAATACTGGAACGAAGGTTTTTGCTATCACTAAAGTGGGCTGGAAATGACAGAGTTAATGAAGCTGCAATCTCGAAGCTCTAAACAAACTGGAGCTTTTGATTGTATTTCCACCTGCACACCTGATCCCTGGACTCATTCGGCCGTGTTTGCTCAGAACGTTGAGTGGCAGCAGAGCTCTTGGTGTCTCTCTCCCACACTGTGAGCAGATACGTCTACCGCCTCACCCACACAGCTGGCCTGTTCACTGCCTGACTCTAAAGGAACTCTAGCTTTTAAGAGCCTGCTTTCTTTTCTTTTCATTCTCAAATCCTGCTCTTAGTAAATCCCAAGCTCAAACAAATATGATGTCATCCTGAGGCACAGAGGGGCTGGTACACATGCCTTGTTAATAACAGTGGAAACAGGAGGCCATGAAAGTCAACATTTTACCATCTGAGACCTGTTCATAATTTGCTCCTTTGCTTAGAGAAACAAGTGTCATCAAGGTTATCCTTAAAACTTCCCAGTAGTGCATGGCCCAGTTGGAAAGAGGGGTGCAAACTCCGGATAGCATTTGAGGCTCTTCTGCCCTTTGGAACCACGTTAAAGTTGTTGTAAGATAAAATACACTGTCCACAGTTTCTTCACCCTCAGAAAGTCAGTGAATGTAGTAATTGCTTTCCTTCTTCCCTCCTTTCTTCCTTCCTCTTTCTTTCCTTCTTCCTTCCTTTCTTCCTTTCTCTCCCTCTCCCTTTCTCTCTCTCCCTTCCTTCCCTCATTCTTCCCTCCATCCCTCCCTTAATTCCCTTCTTCCTTTGTTTTGAAACAGGTTCTTACACTAGCTATGTAGCTTACAATGGTCTGAAACACTCAGTTCTCCTGATTCTCTAGTCCCTGGGCTGCCAGTACCAGCACACTATAGGTTTGTCACAAATATTCAACTTCAGACCCTATCCCAGACTCGCCAAATTCAAGGATGGGGAATACGGGAGGGACGGGTGCTTAGCATAGAATGAATTCCTTCCAGGTGACTCTAATTGTTGGGTCAAGTTTGAAGTACATTCAAGTTTATTAATTCACAGTGCAAAAGGCCACCTGGTATCTGAATATGTATCAGCCACATCCATGCTTACTGATGAGCTAGAGAAGCCAGGAGGCCTCTGAGGCACCTGAATTGTATTCTAGCATTTTTATCATGCCTCAGAAATGCAAAGACAAATAAATTGGCCTCTTGATTCAAAAGTCATAAAATCAGCTGTGTGTCACATAAAGTCATGCAAATAAACCTCTGCAGGTGATTTTGTTGTTGTTACTTATGATAAGAAACTCAATATACTAAGCTTTCTCCTTTTCAGTTACATATGAGAAACATTGTTATAAGCCAGGGAGTTATTTTTAGTCAAAGGACAGACATGAAACTACAGAACAACTTGTTTTCTTAAACGATGGAAACTTTCATTACATTTTCTCTGTACCTAGCCTACTCCTTAGTCTAAAGTAGATGTTTAATAAATATTTTCTCAAAGTGAGGCAAATGTATTTAGTGGCAAAGAAGGGAGAGAGTGAGAGTGATAGAGAAAACAGAAGGAAATATAAACATGTGATACAGAGAAAAGACTTTAAAAAGATAGAGACAGCCCCCCATGTCTGTAGGTCCAGCATCCATGGACTTATCCACGCACTAATAGAAAACCCTTGCACTTATTGAACATGTACAGACCTTTTTCTTGTCACCATTCCCTACCAAATACAGAATAACACCTATTTTCATATTACATACCACAAATCATCAAAAGATGATTTTAAGTATAAAGAAGGATTACAGAGGATCCACATTCTATGCCGTTTTAATAAGGTACCAGAGCCCCTGAGATGTGGTAAACCCTCAAGGGGTCCTAGAGTCAAACATTCATGGAGACTGAGGCTTGGCTATTCAGAGAGGAGACATCAGGTGCAGAGGGAAAAGAGACAAAAGATGATACTTTAAGAAACAAAGAACTAAATCAGTTTATAAATTATAGAAGACTCAAGACCTTCAGTTTTAATGACATAGCCACTAGGAAACAGACTATTTCCTCTTTCAATATTATCTATCAAAATCCTCGCCTCCAAATGCAGGCCAAGTGTCAAGGACTCGGAAGCGGACTCTTAGAGATGACTCTGCCTGTTCTGGTCTCATTATAAAACGTCTCCTGTGGGCTCGGATGTTTGAACACTTGTCTCCAGCGAGCGGTGCCATCGTGGAAGGGTGTGGAACTTTCAGGAGACGGAGCTTCTCCAACAGAATGCGCCTAGAAGTTTGATAGCACAGCCCTAACTTCCTGAACTCATTCACTTGCCACTGCAGACACAGCGAGACCCGCCACCTCGTTCTCCGCCACCATGTCTTCCTGACCAGGGCAGACCGTTTGCTCTCCTCAACTGTGAACCCTCTCTCCATGAAGTTGCTTCTTGTCAGACATCAGGTCCAGAGATGAGAAAAGGAACCTCCTTGGTTGGAAGAATTCTTTTTCTGGGATAGGCCTGTGTGGATCTGGTAAGTTGCTTGTGGGGCAGTGCATGTGAGGGAAGAGGCAAGTTCTTGGCCAAGAGAAGAGAGAAAAAGGGCAGTTTAGGTTTGCGGAGAGGATTTCTCAGAGTTGCAACTTACAACAGCTGCTCGTGGGTTTGGGAAACATGGCTCAGTGGAGCAAGGTAGGTGGGTTCTCACTGCGAACCACACTCCACTGTTCACCTCACAAGCAGTTAGCCTGGCTCATGCTTGGTTTCATGTCTAAAACTGGAACATACTCTAATACAATAAATATCATGTGTAGAAACTAAGAAGAGTGTTCCCCAGAACTTAAAATGCAAATGTTTTCTGGCTGCTGTTCTATGGCAGTTAACTGAAGATTCCATGAGCAGTTATACGTCGGAACAGTTTTACATCAGAACAATACGATCTGATGCAAAAGCTGGAAGGAGACTTCTCCCTACTCCTAAGGAGGCACCTGCTTGTTCAGGAGGAAACAAACTCAAACTCATAGAAAGAAACCTTGCAAGTGGGTCTTCAGAGGCATAAGAATGATTCATTTCTAGACAAGAGGTTTTTTTCCCCAATTAATACTTATATTCATAAATGCCTGACCCTACAATCAGTTTAGCTAGGATTGGACATTCATTCTATCATCTCAGATCATACTCAAGAGAAGAGCAGAGAAAAGCAATGCACAGTTCCATCTCTGTTCTCTGGACTGTATTGATGTTGTCTATTTGCAGATATGGTATTCAATCATGTGGATGACGAGATATTTGGTGCACAGATATGGAAACAGAATCCATCTTGCAGTCAGTCCTAGACTTTCCTTGGTTTCTTTGCATTTGACTCAACAACATCCTTTCACTATACATCCCACTCAGAAAACAAATTGAGACTTTACACTTCTTGCTTAAAGAAAAACATTACAAAGAATGCAAACTGACAAGTGAAAAAAAATCTCATGAAAAATGTGTACTTTATGTACCTGTGCACAAATGCAAGTAAATCCTATGGGCATTCATTCCTTCAGTCTCTCTGCAGAAACCCCGCCCCATCTTCCCTCTGGGCGTGGCTGACCTAAATTTAGATGCATCTCTCATTAGTCTCATTGGGAATTTCAATGGTTACAATCTCACTAACCATTGTCATGGTTAATCTTGATTGTTTACTTGACAGCATTTGGAATCATCTCTGTAGGCAGCACTTCTGGGTGTGTCTGTGGAGGTCTTTCCAGAGAACTCTGAGGAAGGAAGGAAGACCCATGCTGAATGTGGGCTGCACCATCCCATGGACTGGGGTGCTGAACAGAGTAAAAAGGACGGACCGGAGACATAGGTGGCTCAGAGGTTAGGTGCATATGTACTGCTCTTGTAGAGGATTCTAGTTGAGTTCCCAGCACCCATATCAGGCAGTTCATAACCTCTGTATGTCACCCCAACTCCAGGGTATCCAACAGCCTCTTCTGGACTCTACTATCAACTGACTCACATAGGCACACTCCCACTCACAGATACATACATATACACCCGTATACACCCAATTAAAAATAAAAATAAACCTTTTGTTAATGGATGAAGGAGAAAGCATGTACTAAGTATGGACATTAGGATTCACCTCTGCTTTCTGACTACGGTAACAATGTGACCAGCTGCCTCAGACTTCTACAACCACAGCTAGGGCCAGTCTTAAAGTCATCCATTCCTCTTTAAAAAAGAAAATGTAACACAAATTAATAAATGACCCAGAGTCTGATATTGGGGTTCAAACGTCAAGCTGAATACCAGAAAAACAAAGCAGCTGGCCAATACACTCTACCTTTACCTAAGGATGAATGGGCTGACCATACCTCCAAGAGCTCTCACCAAGCCCCAGACATCTTCTCAGTGTGTCTGGAGAATGAATGCCTCTCTGAGACATTGCTTATATCTTACATACTTCCATAATGTTGACATTAAAGGTGTGAGTTGTAATTCTCTTTTAGATTGATTCACTCTTGTGTAGATCTGGGTGGCCTTGGACTCACAGAGATCCATTTATCTCTTAATCCTGTGTCCCAGGATTAAAGGCGTGTACCACCACCTCTTACCTTCTGACTGCTGGGATTAAAGGTGTGTGCCTGGCTTCTAAGGCTTGTGGCTGTCTTTGCTTTCTGAATCCTTAGTCAAACTTTAATAAATCATAAATAATATATCACTATGTGTATGAAAGTACACTAATGAATGCTTGGTGACAATTGAAGGCCAGAAGAGGACATCAAATCCCCTGAAACCAGAGTTATAGGTGGATTGTGAAAAACCATGTGGGTGCTAGGAATTGAACTCTGGTCCTCTGCAAGAACAGGAAGTGCTCTTAACTGCTGAGCCATTTCCCCAGTCCCTCCTCCTTGGTCTTCTTGCCCAGAGGGGTTGAAGCCTCAAGCCAGAAATGGAAATGAACTCTTCTTTTCCTCTTTATGTTTCTTTTGTGGGATATTTTGTCACTCCCCAAGCACACTGTAAAATCAAAGAGTGTGGAACAATGGGGATGTGCCTTTCCCTGGACAGCAGTGATCATTCTTGAGTCACCTGAGTTCATAGAAATCTTAAACCAGCTCAGTTTCATGAAAACATGTTACCTAGGATTCCATATTCCTACTGTTCTGTTTGTAAAATATTGAACTTGTAACATTTTTTATTAAATGAGCTACTTTTCCATTTGAGGTAAACATGGTGTTGCTTTTATCAGGGTGTGTCATTTGGATTCTGGTATAACGTGTGTCTGTTGTACTTATGAATAGGCCTTGGCAGAATGTAGCAGACAAAGGAGACTCTCAGTTCCTAAGATCCTTTGTACACAAGGAAACTGAAGAAATGAATGTGTTTATGAACTAAATGACTTTCTGCAAACACATTCCTCCTCTCTGAGATCACACTCTCTTGGCAGGAAGACTGCTGCTGACTGAGTACCTCCAACCAGCCAAGCACGTGACAGACGTCATTTCTTCCCCTTTTTAAAACTAAGGCATGCAGATATTATTATTGTCCCTATTTTCAGGTGAAGAAACTAAAGATAAGAAGATAAAAAAAGACAATGATACCAGATCGCTCCTAGCTGAGGGGTTCAAATCAATGTCCAATGCAAAACCAAAAGAACTTTCTATTGTGTGGTGTGGCACTGTTCACTCACTTTGGAATCCTTACAGCTGAAGCTAATTTTGATCTTTCTGCCTCAGTACTGGGATTATAGGTAAGTACTACTATGACAGGCTTGTGTGAAACTGGGAATCAAACCCAAAACTTCATGTGTATTAGACAAGCACACTATCAGCTGAACTACATTCCCAGTCTATCAACTTGTAATTCCAATATATCTTCCCTCATGACTGATTGTCAAAAAAAAAAATAAACCACCCACCTACACACACACACACACACACACACACACACACACACACACACACACCTGTCTCTTTAAGTCCATAGAGTAATGTATAGAGCATAATGGTTGGAATGAGACTCCGTACCTCACCATTCAACTCGGTCTCCTTATAGCACTTTCTATTGAGTTTCACAGTTCAAGCTTCTATGCTAGGCCTGTGTACTGTAAGCAAGGTGCTCAGCCACTCAGACTCAGTTTCCCTTCCATAAAGCAACCATATGGAGTACAGAAAGCTCACAAATGGTGTCTGGAGGAAACTCACTCTGATTTATCAAATTAGCTTTGCCTGAGTCTGGAATCCAAAGGGAAGACAAGGAAGGTCTTTACATTACAACCTTGTCCTTTGAAACTCACATAAAATTTACTAAGATGTCTAGAGTAAAAAAAAGTGCCTGGACCATTTTAAACATGTGAATATTAACCCTAACTTGGATCAATGAGAATGGAACACTTGGGTAATATCGCTTGTGTGGGTGCCTTGACTGGAGCAGTTTGGGCTGCGAAAACTTTGTACTAAGGAGCAAGATTCTGCTCCATGCTCATAGATGCCTTCATCTGCTCAGCTATGGTGACAAGTATCATGGCTCAGCGGGGCTCCCTGCCTTAGAGCAAGTAGTCAGTGCTCCACATCATATCCAACTCATCAAAGAGCAGGGCAGAATTTATTCATAAAATAAAAATGATTCTTTGCCTGTTGTAATTAAAAGTGATAATTACTATATTCACCCAAATTTGTAACAACATTATTCATGATAGGAAAAAGATAAAAGCAACTGCCCTGTCCATCAAGAAAGGAGTCAATAAACAGGCTATGGTACACGTATTTGGAATAATATTTAGCTTTAAAAGGAGAGAAATTCCAGTATGTGGGAACCTTAGTATGTTATTGAAACACAAGCACAAATACTGGATGATTCCTCACAATAAGATAAGCATGGTTAGGCGAATTTACAGAAAGGTGACTTCAAGGTCAGGGAAGAGGGGAGATGGGTCACTATTTAATAGATGTGTAGAGTTTCAGTTTTTTCAGGAAACAATGTTGTGGGGATCAATTGCATAGCAATGCAAGAGTATTTACCACCATTGAGTTATACATTAAACATGCCTAAGATGGTAAAAGCTCATATGACACGTGTTTTCATCATAACTAAAATGAGTAAATAAACAAATAAATGAATATAGATGTCAACCAAATCAACTATGGCTACCAGGGTGGCCTCCGGTGACTTCTGCTGTTACTGTTCTACAAGGTCTGACAGAATTATCAATGACTTTCCTGCCAGTGGCTAATCCCAGCAGTGAGCCACAGCTGTGGTCTGTGCTCTTTGGTCTAAACACGAGTGTGGGCCTCCTACCTTTAGCCTTTGAGTCTTTCTTGGGAGACTTACAGTTATGAACCTTGAATTAAGGACTGTGTGTGCAGGACATGCTGGTGACCCGGGGAACCATTCCATATGGGAGATTGGACAGCAGTGCCACTGTTTTCCTTGCAGGACAGTTGTGTGAAATCTCATGGTTGTCAGAAGTGATGCTTTTGCCCCTGGCAACATCAATAGAGCCCTAAGTGATATCCCCAGGCTTATCCATGTCTTTTCCTGGCATATGCCTGTCACATCTGCAACTTATTTGGGCCATTTCTTTAGCAGGAAATGGTTGAGTCTCTTCATTAATAGGGCTTACTGAGATTACTGCTTTCAACCCTTCGGGTTAAAATTACTGTCTATTAATTCCCTTTAAAAGAGTGTTTGAATTTCACAAGTGTGTGGATTGAATATCCTTTGTTTGCCTTGAATTGGAGGAGAGAAGACAAACATCACATGCTCCAAAACAAATGAGCGCTGCCTTCAAGTCCAGCATATCAATTAACCAACACATGATTAGCCCCTAAATTGGTCTCCCATCCAAATACTAACCAGGCCTAACCCTGTTTAGCTTCCTAGATCAGAGGAGATTGTGTGCATTCAGGGTGATATGGCTGTAGACAGCCCTTAAATGGTAATGCAGTATTTGTTTTACTTTACCTAGACATTAACCTAAATTCCTTATTTTTCATTCCATGACTTCCTCCATACTTCACACACATGTACATGTTGAAGTGTGTGAATTAAGTGCATGTATTTGGCACATACATTACATGTTATATTGAAATGAAACTGGAAATAGCAGCAATGTGGGCACTGATGACAGAGTACAGATTTTGTCCCTGATAAGTATGGTCCTTCTATGTTACATTTTCTCTCCAAACACAGCTCTCAAACAGCTCATAATTGGCTGCACAGAAACCAAACTGCAAAGGGACAGCTCTCACGTTGAGTGTGTCATAAAAAGCCAAAGTCATCCTGAAGACCAAGTACTACCTATCAGTGGAATGGGGACAAGTGACTTCTGACCTCTGACATCACTGCCACTGGGGAGTTTGGGCCACAGCTGTGATTTCCATCAGCACTCACTGTCTTCCACAAAGGGCTAGGGGCAGCTCTTGCCTAAAGTGATGAAGTGGTGTTCAAAGGACTTTGAGATGAAAGGGCCTTTGGAATCCAAAGGCTCACTGTGGAAGTAGATCCTCTTTTATATGGTACTAGCAAATGACCTGCCCTTGGCCTTTTAAAGTGTTACTTCCAATCTGTCAAGAAACCGAAGAGGAGACACAGCAGGTGAGACCACCAGATGTGACAAAAACAAACTCTTTTAGAGCCTAAACTAGGAGTTATATCACTGACAAGAATGAATGAGTCTTCTCTGAGAGTTTTCTGACTGAACTGGAGAAACTGGAGAAGCCCTCGTTGGGAGCTTTTTGTAACAGGACAACAGAGATGAGAATGCTGCATTAAGCTTAGCATATAAAAGCTACCAACTGATAGAGAAGTTCTTCACCTGGGCTTCATGTAACCAACAGCAAGCTTAAGACAAGCCTGACGTGTGTGAGAATGGCAGGGGCGTGTGAGCGTCCCACAGTGCTTCCTGGCCCAGCGCTCTTGGAGCCCTTCTAGAGCTATGGACCACTCCTTACCCCTTAGCTCTCTTGCTCACTTGTCAATAACTATCTACATTTCTGTTTCTAACCACATGTCCCTGGTCCAATTCTTTATGGTGGGATGCAAGAACTTGCATACTTTGACAGGTTCTCTTGGAACCTTCCAGTCAGATGTCCTGGGACTCAGATCTGAATTTACTGCATATTTATGGGAATTTCAAACTTCTTGTGGGAAGGGGAAGTAGGAGCTTCAAATTAAGTTTCCTTTTTAAATTCCACCAAGAACAGGTGGTTTGTTCTACTCAATCAAGACTTCACAGGGCTGATTTCATGCATAGATAAAAGCAGTGATGGCTCCTTTCCCATGACAGAGTCTCAAACTCGTGATCCTCCTGTCCCAGCCTCTGAGTGCTGGAGTACCACTACACCTGGACCTGCTCCAGGGGCTTTCTCCACATACTGTATTAAGTTTGTGTTTGCAATTCGGTGTCTTTTGGATGGCTTGCCTATTCTTTATTTGCAAAACCAGAACTCTCCACCAGCAAGTGGAGTAACTTGCTGAAGTAGCATAAGTAGGAAGTGACAGAGGTAGGTTTGAGCTCAAGAATTCCAGGGTTCTGTTTTCATTTATGATCCCATAAGAAAAATAGCAAGCATTGTGCAGTGTGGAATCTCCAAGAAATCCCATTCACTAGACATACAAGCCCAGGAATTGTAGCCCCTCTTCTTACATGGATTTCAGTCCTTTCCAAGATTAACATTTGACCCTTCTGATCTGCATGGCTCTATTGGTCACCTACCCAGCAATGGGAAGTGAGAAACACAATAAGTCATAGTCCTCTTGTTCATCTCCCCTAGTGAAACACCTATTCCTCCACACACTTGTTAGGGTTGAACTGCTTATATAGCCGTGACTAACTGCCCAGTCTCCTCGGTAATAGAGCCCCCAAATCACTTCCATTTCATAATTACATACTGAAAAAGTAAAAAAAGAATTTAGCAGATGGTCATTGGTGTTCCTTCCTACCCTCTCTTGGATGTGTTCTACCTTCAGATCTTAGTTCAGGGCATTCTTTAAGAGGATGCACTATGTCAGAAATGCTAGTGCCACCGCACAGTCACAGTGACTGTGCCTACACATACAAGACCCTCACCATATCAAACCACCAAAGTCCCACATGGACGGGGGAGGGCCTTGTGGAGTCCCGCCTCCTAGCAGAGAAGCTATTGGAAACTGATGGCTGCTGGGCGAGGAAGAGTCCGTTTTCCTCAGGAATTTGGCCTCTGAAAGTGTTCCAAGTTTGAGTAGATTATTTTATACCCAGGTACATACAGGTAGCACTAAGTGGACACGGTGGGTTTAAAAAATTAACACATGAAATTAGGAATGAAAAGTGGTAGGGAGGATAGGAAAGGGGTTGGAGAGAAGGGAAAGGGGGATGGATTTGATCAAAATGCATTATAAGCGTGTGTGAAATTCTCAAACAATAAAGAAAACTTTTAAAATATAAAATAAAAATTTAAAAGAGATCACATTGTGTTGTTATGTTCCAGCTAGCTGGTAGCTAGCTAACTAGGTCAGTGAGTATTCTTAGTGTGGATTTCCCCAATAAGAATTCATACCCCAGTAGAAAACACTGGTTGAGGAATAAAAAAAATGAGAAACAGAGAAGAGAAGATAATTTATTAAAGGGGAACTGTCAAGTAAGTTGCCATCATTAGTAAGGGTAGCTCAATTCCACTGGATCTTCTGGAAGACAATGTAGACTTTAATTCAAAATATATCATCATCATGATCACCACCATCACTACTATTACCACCACTAGAATCACTACCCTCACCACCACCACCAACCACTACCACCACCACCTTCACCACCCTCATCGTCACCACCAGAAGCAGCTCTATCCCATATCCATTGAATCAGAATAGAAACATTTTAACAGCATTCCCAAATAGTGAGTTGCTGTTAAGTTACTAGGGTAGCATATGGTCCCAAATAAGTCAAAAGGGACAAGAAAACTGTGATATTCAGTCACTACATACCCATTTGGCATTGTTTATGGGCTATTTCTGAGAGGTTGACTCTACTTTGCCCTTTGTATGGGCAGAAGAAATCCCCCAACAGCAATGTCAAAGATATTAGCAGAAAGTAGCTCTCAGCATGCACAGCTACTGTAAGTCTAGCTACTACACCACTAACCATAAATGTGCTGTTAAGGCTGAGGTCAAATTGCGATGATAATAAGAGCCATTACTATAATATCAAGTCAATAGTAAAGACACATTAAATAAATTAGTCATCTACTCTTCTAGGCTCTTATTCTAAATTTCCAAATAAGCCAGTTGGGATATCTTCTAGAGAAAGCACATTACCACATTCATTTTTAACAAACATTAGGATAAATATAGCATTATTTTTCACTCAATACTTATTTTGAGCTCTGTCAAGCAAACCACAAGTGACGTCAGGAAATAACCTCCTAGGTTTCATTTGCTTCTTATAATTCCCAAGATCAATCCTCAGGCGTGGTGGAGAATTGGATGACCTATGTTTTCATGGCAATGACATACTGTGGGCTACATTTATTTTGGAGTATGTTCAAAAGCTGAAATTATAGTGGAAAAGAAAAAAACCTTGACTCCCATTATAATGTCAAACACTGGTAGAGACATTTGGACAACATCCAGAAAAATCAGTGGCTGCTCCAGACACAATAAAATACTACACAAGAAAAATAGTGAATACATCTTGCTACTTTTACAGAGAACTCAGATTTGCTCCCCAGCTTCTGCATGAGGTGACTCACAGCTGTCTATAACACTTGTTCTAGGGGGCTTTCAGAGCTTCTTCTGTCCTCCAGCCACATGTACAAACAGGCACACACCCCCTCCCCACATATACATAATTGAAAATAAATTAAATGTGAGCTTATGGGCTCACATTATAAGTTTAACGATGGAAATTCACTGCACATAGTCAAAACTAAAATAGATAGCTATGTCTTTTGATCTGTTTTGTTTAATGCACCAAATGGGCTGAAATATTTAAAATATTGTAGAATTCCACTTGTTCATTTGCCAACCAACTAACCACATTGAAAACCCTTCATTAGTAAATGAAAAGTTAACTCATGTTGTATGTAGTTGACATGTGTCATTGACAGAATCCCACAGAATACATTCTAATCCTGCCTGTTCCTCCCTTAACTCCTTAGTCTTCTATCTCTCTGCTATTGCATCAGCAACATCGGTTCCATTAGCTCTATTAAGTCTTTCTTGAGCCCACTAAACATTGTATTTTCTGTTCATTTTATTGCATTGCAAATGAGATGCCTAGTCATGAATAAAAGACTAGAGGGAAGCTTGCTTTTATTAGAGTTTTTTCTTTCCTTTCATGAACATCTTCAGCTCTGGCCAAAGCCCCGAAGAACAAAAGAGGTTTTCTGTCATTTATTTATGTGTAGTATAATTGATAAACACATAGATACTACAAAGCATCTACTGTTTATTTTGAATTTTAGTTTGTTAAAAAAATGTTAGGAACACCAGCTTGGGAGAGGAGAGTTCTCAAATAAGTATAGGGATTTTCCTTTTTTCTGAGTCAGGTGTGAATTGAGGTAGGAAAGTTGAGGGTTAGGCTAGGATCGAGACTCACTTATGGACCCAAGGAAAGGAGTCATAGATGCCCCAAATCATGAGTGCTAAAAGGGAACCCCAGATGTCACAAGCCCATGGGTTCTCTTAAGCAGTGCTGCCTAATAGAAGCATCATTTAAGCTACAGAAACAACTCTTATGTGTGATTTTTCAATGTTCTGGTGGGCCCATCAGGAAAACATAAAAGTGAGTACGCGCATGCGCACACACACACACACACACACACACACACACACACGAAAATTTCAAAGAACAAAATTAATTTAAAAAGCAAAAAGAAACAGGTAAGTTAATTTCAATAGCATGCTGTTTAGCTCATTGAATATAAAATGTAATTGTTATTAATATTTAGCAATCCCTTTTCCATTCTAAGTCTTAACAATCAAGTGTGAATTTTATACTTGTGAGACATTTTTAAGGGTCCCCAGACCATCTTTGCTGGCCAGCTTGGGTCTAGACAATCTATTAAATGAGTCAAATTGTTTTTAAAATGTTTGTAGGGTCTTTAAAGCCAGATCAAAGCCCTGGCTGAAGCCATGATACTGAAACTACAATTTTACTATCGTGAGCCCCAACTTCTTTCACGTATGCTTAGAACTCTAGCCATCTACCAATCATGTTTTTCTGAAGATTATATTGTCATCCAATTCAATTTTCCATACCCTTGTTCACTTAAACATGTGTTATGAGCATGCAGCATACCCCTGACACACTCATATATTCTTACTCACTACAGAGTCTTGTCCATGAGCCCTTAGAAATTGCTTTGGAAATTAGGAAAATGATTTAAGTATGATTTTCTTTTTGGCACAAAATTAGTGTTAGTGTGTTCTGCTTTAAAATCCGATCTGCCTTTACTCTCTTATATATGGAATTTAGACATAGATCTGGGGAGTGCTAGCTTACAATCCCATGGCCAGAGACTCTGGGAAACAGAACCTTCATTCAGTGGCTGATGGAAGAAGAGGCAGACTCCCATGGCTAAGCCCTGAGCTGAACTCAAGAAAGCCAGTAACAGAGAGGGAGGACTGATGACCAAAGGGATTAAGACTAGGCTGGTTTAACCCCCAAAAACAGCTGACCTGACAAGGGTTAACTCTTGAATCCCAGGTTGATGCCTGGGAATCCAGCATGGGACTGATCAAGACCCCCTGAATGTGGGTGTCAGTGAGGAGGCCTAGGTAATCTATTGAGCCTTGGGCAGTAAATCAGTATTTATCCCGAGTATACACATGGACTTTGGACTCCCATCCAACAATGTGAAGTGCACTCTCACCCTGAACTCTTGGGGGAGGGTCTAGGCCCTGCCCTGGATGAAATGACAGACTATGTACACCCCCATGGAGGGCCTCACCCTCCCTGGGGAATTGAGGGGATATTAGGGGGGTTGGGGGGAGGGCATGGGAGGAGGAGAGGGAAACGGAGAGGGACCTG